GGTAGCTGGCTTCTCCCAAGGCATTCTGGGATTGTAAGTCCTTTTCCAAGCCCTAGCTCTGACCTTTGGGAACACAGACACCCAGGGGCCCAGAGGCTCAAACTCCCAACCGCAGCTTCATTCATTCTAATTTTCTCAGTATAGAAATTTTGAACTGTTAGCTTTGGGGGGTGCTGGCCGGGCTAGAGGGCTTGCACCAGGACATTCTGGGAGTTGTAGTTCTGTAGTCTGATAGTGGCTGGACTTAGCTCTCAGAGGGGGCCCTGGACGGTTGGGGGTCTCCAGCCTATATGAGAACCAGGGATCCTGGTTCTGACCCCGTTTTAGGTTTTAAAAGGCTGAAGAAACTTCACATCTCCTGCCCCAGGGAAACCAGTTTATGAATGGGCCAGTCCTAGGGCATTCTGGGAGTTGTAGTCCTTTAGTCAGTATTGGATGCAGCTCCACTCTTGATTGAGACAAAAGGCTCTCCAGGAATTGCGTCCAGGACTTGGGGACACTACAACTTCAGACCATCCACTTCAGCCCTGCTGGCACTTAGAAGGTGGGGCCAACCTCTCCACCGCCCCCGGCTCCCATCAGCCTTGAAGGATGGGGTCAGCTGGCCTGGCGTCCCAGAGATTTACAGTTCCTTGTTCTAGGGGAATCGCAGTGGGCTACCATCCACTCTGTGCAAGAATGACGATAGATTTACCTCTCCCCTGCTTCCCTGTCCACCTTGGGGATTGTTGGTTGTCTGCACAACACACGTGGAGACACAGTGGCCCTCTTCCTGTTGCCCCATAGTTCCTGGCCCAGAACGAGGAGAAGCCACACGTGGTTGCACACTTCCATGAGTGGTTGGCGGGCATTGGCCTCTGCCTGTGCCGGGCCCGGCGGCTGCCCGTGGCCACAATCTTCACCACCCACGCCACACTGCTGGGACGCTACCTGTGTGCGGGTGCCGTGGACTTCTATAACAACCTGGAGAATGTGAGCCGGGAACGTGTGGCAGATGGGGGCTGTGAGTGGTTCGGGACAGCCCAAAGCTGTCCGGGAAGCCCAGGGGCGGGGGGATCAAGCTTCCTCTTCTCCCGTGACCCAGGGGTCCAAGTCCTCCACCCCCTCCTCCCTCTGACAAAGGAGTTCAGCTTCCAACCCCAACCACCTCCGGGACCCCGGAGTCTGGACCGCCAAAGTCTTCTCCCCAGTTCTTCTAACCTGACTGCCTTCCCTTCCCACCCAGTTCAATGTGGACAAGGAAGCAGGGGAGAGGCAAATCTATCACCGCTACTGCATGGAGCGGGCAGCGGCCCACTGCGCTCATATCTTTACTACTGTGTCCCAGATTACTGCCATCGAGGCTCAGCACCTGCTCAAGAGGAAACCAGGTAGGGAATAGGCTGGGGTCCCTAGACATGAATGAGGCAGTCTGTGCTCAGGCCGATACTTAGCTGGTTTTTTTTTAACTGTAGAGAGCAAAGAACTACACCCCCCAGCCGGCCCTAAGTTGATGACCTGAATAGGGAGCTGCCTGGTTATACGCCCTAGAGGCTAATGGGAGGTGTAGTTCCTTTGACATTCATTTCAAAATGGTAAAGTTACCTTATCGGCTAATGTAGTTATTGGTCTTCTGAAAGGGAATGGAGTTTCACTGGGTTTTGATTTTGAGAAGAGTGGTGTTGGAATCCGCTATTCTTTTTTTTTTTTTTTTTTAAGTTTACTTATTTATTTTGAGAGAGAAAGAGAGTGAGAGAGCATGAACAGGGGGAGGGACAGAGAGAGAGAGAGAGAGAGAATCCCAAGCAGAGCTGGACGCGGGGCTCGATCCCATGAACCGTGAGATCATGACATGAGCCCAAACCAAGTTGGATGCTCAACCGACTGAGCCACCCAGGCACCCCTGGAATCAGTTATTTTTTTCGGGTTAGAGCACCCATTCTCAATGGGTGTATTGTGAGAACTACAATTCCCAGGAGGCCTTTGGCTAGCCAGCTCCTTCTACTCCTGGAGCTGATGGTGGTTATACTTTTTCATTGATGTATTTTAATTTCAAGGAGGATAGGAAATGATCGGGACCCTAAAAGAGGCTTGAAGGTTGAGGGTATATTCTGGGAGAAGCAGGATGGGGATGTTTAAATCATCCCCAGTATAGGGTGGGATAGGGGAAACAAAATAACTACAACTCCCAGAAGCCCCAAGGTAGTTCATTTCCCTGTGTGGTTAGCCATTTGCAGGGGCTGCTGGGAGTTGTGGTCGTGCTTGTGAACGTAAGCAAGTGACTTTGCGCAAGAAGGCGTCTGAGTGGCAGGGTAGCGGGGCCACCAAGGGAGCTTCTAAAACCAAGAGATTGTGAAAGGAAAGGAGTCTTTCCTTTGTTTATTCATTCAACCACACTGGTGGGTATGAATAGATGAAGATACGAAACATGGACCTTCTCCCCACAAATCCCAGATATCGTGACCCCCAATGGACTGAATGTGAAGAAGTTCTCTGCCATGCATGAGTTCCAGAACCTCCATGCTCAGAGCAAGGCTCGAATCCAGGAGTTTGTGCGGGGCCATTTTTATGGGTACGTGGACCAGGTACCTAGGTCTTGGGAGAGGAAGGGGTTGGGAACCCAACTCATGAGTGTAAGCGATGGGAGAGCTGGGGGCTCAGCCTCTTCCATTCCTGAGCGCCAGAACAATGGTGGAGTATTCAAGTAGTGATCCCCATCTAGGGAGAAAAGAACTTCAACTCCCAGGAGCTCCCATGATGCCTCTGTACTGCCTAAGATGCTCTTTGCCCCTGTAGCTTCTGGGGTTTGTAGTTTCAAGGCCAGGGCTAGCGGGTCCCCACCCTTGGCTTCACCAAGGTGGCTTCACCACCATGCCTTATGGCTTTTTTAGGCACCTGGACTTCAACTTGGACAAGACCTTGTATTTCTTTATCGCCGGCCGCTACGAGTTCTCTAACAAGGGGGCCGATGTCTTCCTAGAGGCCTTGGCCCGGCTCAACTATCTACTCAGAGTAAGGCCTGGGCTTTGAGAAGACAAAAAGAGGAAAAGGAAATCAGCACATAACTGGGGAGGGTGGGGGCGGGAAGTAGGGAAACCCCGTGCGTGAAGGGAAAGTGTAGAGACCCAGAAAGAAGACCAGAGTCCCAGTGGGGATGATAACTCTAATTCTTGACGGGAAGGAGCATGGCAGGGCCATAGTGGTCTTGATGGGTGGAAAAGGGTAGGTGGCTTCAGCCTTCTCTCAGGTGATCCTGACCCCCTCCCCCCACCCCATGCCTTTTCCTCTGCCCAGGTGAACGGCAGTGAGCAGACAGTGGTCGCCTTCTTCATCATGCCGGCTCGGACCAACAATTTCAACGTGGAAACCCTCAAAGGCCAGGCTGTGCGCAAGCAGCTTTGGTCAGCAGCCCTCGGCCCAGGATCCCTGCCATTCCCACTCCCAGCCATGTGCTTTGGGAGGCTCAGTTTTGTTATCTGGAACATGAGCAGTTTGCCCCCCAAAAACTCGTAGTGAAGTCACTTGCTTAAGACGTCTCTAGCTCAGGGGCACTAAGGAGTCGCACACAGGACAAGTGTGACCGAACAACCAGGGCCCTGACATCAAACTGGCGAGGTCCCACTTGGGCCACTGACGCTTGGTGGCTTTGTGATAATTTCCTCATCTGCAAGAGCCACTCATTAGCCATCAGATAGTCACTGAGCACCTACCGTGGACCAGGCGCTGTTCCAGGCCCTGGAGACGCGGCTGTAAATGAGGACGATAAAATCCCTGCCCTCACCGAGCTCACATTTTAGAGAGTTCTGTAGAAAGTGCTTTGGGGTGCCTGGTTGGCTCAGTTGGTACAGCATGTGGCTCTTGGTCTTGGGGTTGTAAGTTCGAGCCCCGTGTTGGGTGTAGAGATGACCACTTAAAAATAGACTCTTTAAAACAACAACAACAACAAAAAGAAAGTGCTCTGGCAAGAAAATAAAGCAGGACTGGAATGCGAGACAGGACATGGAATGGTCAGGACAGGCCACACTGAGAAAGTTGCCATTGGGTAGAGACCAGTAGAAGAAATGAGGGAGGGAGCCCTGTGTGTATCTGAGGAATAGCATTTCAGGCAGAGGAACACAGATGCAAAGGCCCTGAGGTATGTCTGAGAAACCACATGGAGACCAGTGCGGCTGGAGCAGGGCGCTTAAGGGAGATGGGGTAGAAAATGAGGCCAGAGCTATGAGAAGATTAGGATTAGAGGAATGTCATCGAGGCTGCAGGGTGTCACTAGTTGCTAGCTTCACTTGTGCACATAAAATTTCCTCTCTCGGAACATCGTTTTCCCTTTTTATAACATGGGGCTTAGCATGGCCACCACCAGGACTAGTGCACGTCCTAATAATAGCTGACATTTCTGGAAGGTTTGCTGTGTGCCAGGCACTGTGCGTTGTTTGTCGTGACTTCATCAAGTTTTCCCTGCAGACCTCTGAGGTTGGTTCTATTTTTATCCCCGTCTGAGAGATGAGTCACCAAAGTCAGAGAGGGAAGGCCACCTGTCCCCCGCCACACAGCTGATGAGGGGCACAGGGGATTTGAGCCTTTCAGGGCCTGTTTCCCAGGTCCCCGTCCTCCAGCTCCAAATCCCCAGGGCCTCTCCGCTCAGACCTCGGTGTAGCAGCTGACAATAAATGGCAGGTGGCATATATGTGATGCTGTGTCTCTGCCCCTTCTAGGGATACGGCCAACACCGTGAAAGAGAAGTTCGGAAGGAAGCTTTACGAGTCCTTGCTGGTGTGAGTGTCCCACCCCCAGCCCCGCATCCTCCTGGGCCCTGACTCCACTGATCACCCATTCCCAGATGCATACCCTGTCACCTTGCAGGGGGAGCCTCCCGGACATGAACAAGATGCTGGACAAGGAGGACTTCACTATGATGAAGAGAGCTATCTTTGCCACGCAGGTATGATCTGGGCCCCCGAACAGAGACATGGCGATGCCCAGCACCCGCCCCGGGGGCAGCTTGCCGTGGTAGCTCTGACCCCAGAGATTGCTGGGGGCTCTGCGTTACCAGCACCCTTATCAGGGAATCAATTGATTTTTTTTAAGGCTTATTTATTTTTGAGGGAGGGAGAGAGAGAGAGAGAGAGAGA